CGGAGCGGCCCCGGGGCCACGTGACGGGAGCCACGCCCCCATGGGTCACGTGCAGGGGGTGGGTGCGGTCACGTGAGGCGGGCGGGCATGGCGGCGGCACGGCGGCTGTTCCCGCGCTGGGCGGGATCGCTGCGGCCCGTGAGGGAGCGGGGAACCGGCGGGGGGGGACAAGGGAGCGGGGGGATCGGAACCAGGGGCATCGGGCCAGAGCCGAGCGGGGCCGGGGCTCCGGGGGCTCGGCTGACTCTTCCCTCCGTGCCAGGTGAGCTCCGCTGCGGCGGCGACCGGGGCGTACCCGAAGCGAGTGAAGGTGGTGGAGGTGGGACCCCGAGACGGGCTCCAGAACGAGAAGGTACCGGTGGCTCCGGGCTCCCGGGGAGCGTTCTCCAAATAAATCCCCCCAAACGTCCCCCTGTGCCCACCAATGCGGCGGTTGTTCTTTAAATGCTGCCTTTTTGATGTTGGAAAATAGCGATTTTATTTTTTTTTTCAGTGGTGGAAGAGTTTATTGTGGAAATAATAATAACTATAGATAAATTTCCTTTCCTTCTTCTCAGAATGTCGTGCCCACCCCAGTGAAGATCAATTTAATCAACATGCTGTCAGAGACAGGGCTTCAGGTCATAGAGGCCACCAGCTTCGTGTCCCCCAAGTGGGTTCCTCAGGTCAGTGTTGAGACAGATTTGCAGTGGTGTGTTCTAAAAGTGCAGCAATCCAGTGATTCTGCTTGCTCCCAAATCCCTGTGACTGAGCAAGAACCAGCAGAGGAGTTACAATATCCCAAAGTTTCCCTTTGGACCCTGGAAAAGAGCAAAGGGACAGACAGGTCACACATAAACATCTGTTTGTACACGTTGGCCTGGCTGGGTGACCCCTGACCCCTCACAGGGTGCAGTTCTGTTTGCTTTTAGAGGCTCTGATCCCTGAATTTCCTGTTTCCTTTATAAAAAGTAATTTTAGTGATGATTTTCTGGCTGGCAGGAGTGGCAGTTGTCCCCCTCACAGATGTTTCCTGGTTTGCTTTGCAGATGGCTGATCACACCGAGGTCATGCAGGGGATTAATAAATTACCTGGGATCAGTTACCCTGTGCTGACTCCAAACCTGAAGGGATTCCAGGCAGCGGTAAGGGCTGGGAAAACCTGAATATCCACACTGGGATGTTTCCAATCCCACCTATCCTTTGCTCCTGCACCTGTGGCTTCACCCTTTCCAGGGCAAACTCAGATGTGTCCTGGTGGTCTTGCTGCAGAATGAACTTAGGGAAGGATTGGGTTGTTTGGGGGAAAAATACTTTTATAAAGTGAGAGAACTGCAGTCAGAGATTGTAGATCAGAGCCATTGAGGCTGGAGAAGATCTCCAAGATCTTCAAGTGTAAGTAAACAGGGCAGATTTATTTAGGAACAGAAGAGCCTCTGTAAGGGGAAGTGCTTTATGGGGCTCTCTACCAAGAGGTTTGAAACCCTTGAATTAACACTTGGCCATGAAATCCTGAAGTTGTGGCTCTGTTTGTCATTTCCCTCACAAGAGAGATCACCTGGACTTGACTTAACAACAGTGCTGGGTTAAGGGTTGGACCTGCTCATCTTTTCCACCCTCAGTGGTCCTGTGCTTCCAGTTTAGGATTTTTTTTTGCAGGTGGCAGCTGGGGCCAAAGAGGTGTCGATCTTTGGGGCAGCATCTGAGCTGTTCACCAAGAAAAACATCAACTGCTCCATCGAGGAGAGCCTGGAGAGGTTTGACGAGGTCATGAAGGCAGCAAGGGAAGCCAGCATTCCTGTCAGGGGGTAAGGAGTTCCTGCTGGAATTCACCCACATGTAACCATTCATTCTGGAATAATCCACAGTCACTTTGGGTCAGATTTTCTTGGCAAATATCCCACATGGAAATGCACAGATCACACACACACCCAGCCCTGTGGGCTCATCTTCACACACATGGAAGAAGAAATTGTTGAAATCCTGTAACCTTTGGCCACTGGACTTCTGGAATATAAAACTGATTGTCCCATCTTACAGACATGGAAGATACACAAGTCCTGACTGATTTGTCCAGTAGAATCCCACTTCCCTTTTCCAGCTAAAAGTGTGGGGTTTCTTTTAACCACAGATACGTTTCCTGTGTCCTTGGATGTCCCTATGAAGGCAAGATTTCTGCAGCTAAAGTTGCAGAGGTAAGTCATAAATGCAACCAGAATTCCTGAGAGGGTTTTGGTTTATTTTTAGGGATGTGAAGTGGGCACTGGGGGATGTGTCAGACCTAAGGGAATATCCAGAGGCTGAATCCAGCTGAAATGGGGAATTGAGGGAGGTTTGGGCACCTGGAGGTTTTTAATCCCAGAGAAGAGGGAGGGAAGGAAGTGTCCAGGGAATGGTGGTGCAGCAGGAATCAGCTGTGGGGAGGGAAGGCTGTGCTCTCAGTGCCCGTGCTGGCTGTGGCACAGGTCTCCAAGAAGATGTACTCCATGGGGTGCTACGAGATCTCCCTGGGGGACACCATCGGCGTGGGCACCCCGGGCAGCATGAAGGAGATGCTGACAGTGGTGATGAAGGAGGTGCCCGTGGGGGCTCTGGCTGTCCACTGCCACGACACCTACGGCCAGGCTCTGGCCAACATCCTGGTGGCTCTCCAGGTAGGATTCCTGCTCTGGATCACTGACTCATGCCATGGTTGGGTTGGAAGGGCCTTAAAGCCCATCTTGTTCCACCTCCTGCCTGTCTCCCACTATCCCAGGCTGCTCCAAGTGCCATCCAGGCTGGCCTGGGACACTTCCAGGGATGAGGCAGCCACACAAATGAAGCAGTTTTCCTTGGGATTTTTTGGTGCTTGCTTGGGAATTGCAGATTCTGTGGCTCCAGAGCAGCCCCTGACTCTGGCTTTGTTTGCAGATGGGGGTGAGCGTGGTGGACGCTTCCGTGGCTGGACTTGGGGGGTGTCCCTATGCCCAGGGAGCCTCTGGGAACGTGGCCACAGAGGACTTGGTGTACATGCTCAACGGGCTGGGCATCCACACGGTGAGTGGCACCTGGGCGTGGTGGGAGCAGCTGGGGGAGCTCACTGGGCCTGGGGAGACACTTGACAAGGGCCTGGAGTGGCTGCTCCTTGCCAGAGGGAAGGGTGGGATGGGATATTAGAGAAAAATATTCCTTGTGAGGGTGGGCAGGCCCTGGCAAAGGGTGCCCAGAGCAGCTGTGGCTGCCCCTGGATCCCTGGAAGTGTCCAGGGCCAGGCTGGATGGGGCTTGGAGAGCCTGGGATGGTGGGGGATGTCCCTCAAGGCGTGTCCTGTGCCTTTCCCATGCAGGGAGTGGATCTCCAGAAGCTGATGGACACAGGCACCTTCATCTGCAATGCCCTGAACAGAAAAACCAATTCCAAGGTGTCTCAGGCCTCCTGCAGACTGTGACACTGAGTGGAATTTCTCCTTGGATCAAGAAGAAACCGAGGCTCCAGCAGTGTCTAGGATTCCTCTCTAATCTCCTGAGCTCAGCATTTGAGAGGCAGCTCAAAATCCACCAGAATTAGGAAGAAATGAGAGAATTTTCTATTCCACTGTATTATATTGGACCTCGAGGATGTCCCCATGTGCCTTAGAGAAGGGAGGATGTGGAGGGGCTGAGGAAAGCTCTGAGCAGACCAGCCCCAAAGCCTGCAGAGCCAAGGACAGCCCACGGCTTCTGCAGTTCGAGCTCTGCTCCAGGTCAGGCTCTGCCCTTCCTCGCTCCCAGCACAGCCAGCAAAGGCTGAGCCCAAAGGAACTGTGGTACTGCACTGTGTATCTGTTGTAAGATACCTCCAGGAGTAATAAACACATTGTTTAATAGTCTCAACTATTAAAAATTTGATTCAGCTGAACCAGCGAAGGAGCTTTTGCTGCTGGTGTGGTTCCAAGTGCCTCTTCTGCATGGAAACTGCATCATCATGGGCTGGGGGGATGAGGAATTCCTTCCACCCCCAGAGAGCAGAGAGTGTGAAACCCTCCTGCTCCTCATGGTGATCAGGTCCTTAGGAACCACTCCCAGCTCTTCTATTTACAATAATTTATTCAACTCTTTATTTGTGAGACTGGAGATGAGCGTAGGAACTTTGTCCTTTCAGGAGGCCGGGTGGTTTCAAGGCTGCACGTGCCTCCTTTCCACATGACTTCAATAAACTCTATCTGCTAATAAATGCCACAGAAATTAGGTGGAATTGGGCAATGATTTGGGGTTTTGGGGCAATAATCCGGGGTTTGGGGCAGTAATTCATGGTTTAGGGGCAATAAATCAGGGGTTTTGGGGGCAATAATTCAGGATTTTGGGGCGGTCTCCTCCCGCCGCCAGGGGGCGCTGCGGCTCCGGGCTGCCCGCGGTGGCCCCG